AATTATGTTACGATGCACTAGCGCGCCATCTGTTATCAAATTACAAAACTATTTTAGACGCGTAATATTCTTTTTAAAATAAAACAATTTCTACCGTCCTTACTGCAATGGAAAAATTAAAGGGAGGGCCTGGCTCATCAGTGGTGAATATTTATAATTATATGTAATTCTGCTGTCCTAAAAGCTAATTTCCAAAGTTCATCTAAAATACCCATTCGAAGAGTCAAGTATCTCAGTATCACTATAAATGGAAGTTCCAAAAATGCAATATAACAGCGGTATGGTAGATTAAACTGGCGAAACCGCTGGGAGGGTTCACCACTGATGAGCCAGGCCCTCCCTTTAATTTTTCCATTGCAGTAAGGACAGTAGAAATTGTTTTATTTTAAAAAGAATATTACGCCTCTAAAATAAGAAAAAGGCATCTCCTTATCTTGCAACTGAAAGTTGCTGATGGCTGGCGCCATCTATCGGAATAAATATGAACTATCCTCGTTGATTTTTAATTATTCCAGAATAGTTGATATTTATTCCGATAGATGGCGCCAGCCATCAGCAACTTTCAGTTGCAAGATAAGGAGATGCCTTTTTCTTAATTTATGCACCTTATCCCAGTACAATGTTACATTTATACTATTTCTTCGCCTCTAAAATAGTTTTGTAATTTGATAACAGATGGCGCGCTAGTGCATCGTAATACGTATTTATATATGAATATTTTTCAAAACGTTCACAATGGGTTTTATTCAAATCATCATAAGATTGGCATAACACATATATATTTTACAACTCTTGTTAACTATCTAATATTATTTTGTAATGCACAAAAAAGAGAATTTTGTTCCTTAAATTTTGTTTACCTGTTTATTAAACACGATAATGATGTTGAAGATACTGATGATTTGCACAACTATCAGAATAAACAATAAAAACATTGAAGTTGCTGATTGACTGATTGCACATGTATTGCAATAAATATTGAATAAACGTTGATATGGTAGATGGAGTGGCTCTTGCGAATCTATTCGAACAAATATTTTAAGCAATAAAATAATAATTAAAAAGTGCAAGTAATAGTTTTTACAGATAAAGGTAAAAGTTAAAAACAGTTTTTAAACATCCTTCAGCGCCTACCTGTGGTCCCGGCAATGATAAGTGGTCTCAATAATTAATATTTATCCTTCTATATTTATATATAGCACGTTCGTGGATGGCTTTTCTTCATTTATCAAGAAATTGGGTTGGCCAAACATCAGGGAACAGGCTAAATCAATGTTTAGTTGATTTCTGTTCCACTAGATGGCGCTCTGCAATCTGAAAAGCACATGTGCTCTTGGTCAAGATATGCTTTCTTTGTTTTTAATATCAACACCTGACCTTTTTATTTTATTTTTTTCTATTGTTTTTTTTTTTTTTCAAGACACAAAACGCGATATCCCGAGGATTAGGAACCTGATCCTTTCGGGGGTTAGAAAGATAATCATAAATATATTTACAAAAATGGTTAAATCTGTGATAATTATCTCTAGTTTTTACAAATTGATATAGATCTACAACATTGTTTATTGTCTGTTGTCTAGCGATAAAGAAGAGTGGGTATTCCAGCAGTAGGTGTCTCGAGTCCTGGGTTTCCTTGCCACAGTGACAGCTAGAGTCATATATATAACTGAACGTTCTAACGATTTTTTCTCTCAAGTCTAAAACATTTCAGTATATATAGTACACAAATATATTTGTAAAATTGTCAGTGGATAGCATTCATGAGTAAAAAAAGACACCATTCTTTTTTTAATAAAAACATTTAGCAAATGCTTCCTTTCATAACGCACTGATTCACTTCATTGACTAAATCATCCAGAACTACTTCAGTAAATATGAATACAACAGCCTCCTCTGTTCACCAGAGTTTCAGGCCATGATCCTCATTGGTAAAAGGGCGGTTTGATTGCAAGACATCCTACTAGACAAAAAATAAGCCGAAAGAAAAAAGCACGGGTGTTTTAACTGTTAGAGTCGATCTTTCTACAGAATACAATATGTGCGGGAAAATGGTATTTAGGTGCAAAAAAATATATATATAGCATCTTCTTTTTATAACAAATGTTTTAATATTCATTTATTAAAACTTAAATATGTTTGTTGAGTATGGGCCTTTGTACATTAATATCTTATGATGCATTTGCGCGCCATCTGTTTTCAAATTATAAAACTATTTTAGAGGCGTAATATTCTTTGTAAAATAAAACAATTTCTACTGTCTTTACTGCAATGGAAAAATTAAAGGGAGGGCCTGGCTCGTCAGTGGTGAATATTTATAATTATATGTAATTCTGCTGTCCTAAAATCTTATTTCCATAGTTCATCTAAAATACCCATTCCAAGAGTCTAGCATCAGTATCACTATAAAAGTAAGGTCGAAAAATGCAATATAACAGCGGTATGGTAGATTAAAATAGCGAAACCGCTTCAAGGGTTCACCACTGATGAGCCAGGCCCTCTCGTTAATTTTTTTTCATTGCAGTAAGGGCAATAGAAATTGTTTAATTATAAAAAAGAATCTTACGCGTCTATAATAGTTTCGAAATTTCATTAATATCTATTATAATCTCTTCAGCCTGTATTCCAATCCTACCAGGATTGTGAATTTGATCTATGAATTTAGTCTCCAGTACCTTGTATAATTATACAATAGAATAGTCTCTTAAGCAAAATTATAAATAAAAGACTGAGCCCGTTGAGTTTTGTCTCTACACAAGCTTATAATAAGACAAAATAGCCTAGCTGCGAAATCTTTACACTTTAGAACCTGATGTCCCTGGTTCGAACACGACTTTCGCTCTCTTTTTATTTTCTCTAGTTATTTTTGTGATTTCTTCCACACAAGCTTTTAAGCGTAAATGCCTTTCGACTGGTACAATTATGATACCTGTTGAAGGACTGTTACGCTCGAAAGCTTGTATGACCATAGTATAAAAGAAACTTTTTCTCCCTCAACAGATTTTATTTTTATTTATAATTAATATATATGGTAATTTGAACCAACAACCTCATATTATATATAATATAACAAGATTGTCGTGTTGTATAATGAACATTTCTTTAAATAATTATACGCATGATTGACATGTGTCATTACATCACCATATGTAATGTACTTTGTACAAACTGAAGATAAATAAAACTCTGTAATTGATTAAGAGTTGAGCTAAAGAAAGAGATTGTACAAAGTACATTACATATGATGATGTAATGACACATGTCAATCATGCGTATAATTATTTAAAGAAGTGTTCATTATACAACATGAAAATCTTGTTATATTATATATAATATGAGGTTGTTGGTTCAAATAACCATATATTGTTGCATCATGGCTAATGAACCTATTTTATTTTAATTTGTAATATTATTTTTCATATATTTTAAATTCAAATTTATATTTTATATTTATTTATTTTATTAAACAGAATATATGTATTATAAACAGAATATATGTATTATAGAATCACCATTTGTATTTTGGTACACCGTGTGACTTCACTGCTCTCTTTGATGTGAGAAATAAATAAAGAATTCTGGAGGCTACTTAAAGTAGAGTTATCTCATTATTCCCTTATATAAATTTGTAGGATGTTTGAAACACGCTCTGGTAAGATACAAGACCCAGCACAGGAGAGGATCAAGGTTGAAGAGTCTGTCAAGCCGCAACTTGGTGCAACAATATACATATATGTACTGATTAGGCTATAGCACACGAAACCCGGGTATACAAGTTGACTTTTGTCTGGTTTTGATATAGCTGGTGTTGTCATACATTCTATATCGCAACCATTACGTTCTGTAAAGGGATGATTAACAAGAAATTTAGTCTGAAAAAAATAGTACAAATGTGATATTGTACTGGGATAAGGTTCATAAATTCTTGGTCCGAAACGCGTACGTGGTTAGCTTTTCTTGATTAATCAGGATTGGGTATTTGGCCAATTCTGGAATAATTAAAAATCAACGAGAATAGTTGATATTTATTCCTATAGATAACACAAGCCATCAGTAACTTTCAGTTGCACGATAAGGAGATGCCTTTTTTTATTTTCTTAAGAAATATATTGTTTTAATGCATTTTTAAATGGAGTAGTGCATCTTCTAAATACATCAATGTCGTTATAAAATGAACTATACACGTTCACATCTCCGACTTATAATTTAATAAAATCAAGAAACAATCTAAGGTTTAGTTTGATAAGGCACAATTTGGATTATTCTATATACAGTTACGAGCGTCATTCTTCATCAGTCATCTCTGTCACCGTTTGCTTTTTTTTTTTGGAATGGCGCCCTCCTATTAGTCGGCTACGATCACGCCACCTTTGTGGCTTTTCGTTTTTGTAACCATTGTGTTGGAGCGGGTCGCTCCTTAAATAAATGCATATATTAGTTAATAACTAAATGGAATCCTCTCTTTCTTTTTCCCAGTAAGAGACGCCTACGGAAGCCAACAGTACATAGACAGATAAAGCACATAGGCTATAGTTATTAACTAATATATGCATTTATTTAAGGCGCCAATTTATAATTGTAACAAATAGTATTTGAATAAAAACATTCAATCGGGTAAAACACGGGCGTTGCCCGGGTCATTCGGCTAGTAATTTAATAAAATCATGAAACAATCTAAGGTTTAGTTTGATAAGGCACAATTTGGATTATAGATTACAAACACAAGGTAATAAGACCAATCTATTTATTTGGTATCTTGTGTTAGGGTTAAGTTTCTTTTACAATTTTTATTTCTCTAGTGTTCAAGCAAACTTGCCCTTTCACAGATAATACAATATAATACACTGCGGCTTGTGATTGTAAAATAACACTTTAAGTCACACCGCATGAGTTTCTTTTCAATTAAAAATCAAAATTTATTTCAAGGTGAAATATTGACTATTTCTAACCTTTTTGGATGAGGTATGAAAGGGTGAATTATGAAGAGTAATGATGAACGGAAATGAACGGTAGCCTAGTGGACATGGCATCTGCCCGGTAAGCGGAACATTGTGGGTTCGATTCCGATCCCTGAACACTTTTATTTTTTCGTTCATCATTACTCTTCATAATTCATCCTTTCATACCTCATCCAAAATGGTTAGAAATAGTCAATATTTCACCTTGAAATAAAATTTGATTTTTAATTGAAAAGAAACTCATGCGGTGTAACTTAAAGTGTTGTTTTAGAAATAATACTGTTGTTATACTGAAGTTATAATGCTCTTGTTGAATGGCATGTTAACCCGAAGAATGGAAAAATAAAAAATTGTAAAATAAACTTAATCTTGGATTGCTAATTGATTTTATTAAAATATATAAGTGAACTATGTTGTTAAAATACGAAACTATTATAGACGCGTATGATTCTTTTAAAAATAAAATAATTTTTACTGCCCTTACTGCAATGGAAAAATTAATGGGAAAGCCTGGCTCATCAGTGGTAAACCCTCCCAGCGGTTTCGCCAGTTTAATCTACCATACCGCTGTTATATTTCATTTTTGGAACTTCCTTTTATAGTGATACTGATGCTAGACTCTTGGAATGGGTATTTAGATGAACTATGGACATAATCTTTGAGGACAGCAGAATTACATCTATATTAATAAAATGGAAATTTCATAAGTGGACATCACTAAAAACTTTCGTTACAATGCATCAATTTCAACCAAATTTTCAACATTTATGTAAAACGAGATGGAGCAGGTTTTGCTTAACATCAAAATATATTTCCTAACATTAACATGCGTAACTTCGCTGTTATCGATTAAATACAAAAAAAAATCAACAGAGTTAATTTTATTTATATATAAATACAAAATTAAATTTCAACAGAGTTAATTTTTTTACATACTAGCTAATAATCTCAATCTAAAAAAATGTTCAATACAAGCAATTTTAAGATAACACCATATGTAAAACAGTCGGCCAAGAAAACAACAACGATATTACATCTTTCTCACATATTCACACACAATCATGATTAATAATTAAAACTAATCTTTAATATTGTTTATTATACTTCAACTTTTATTTCTACATTTGTTTTTAAATACCCAATTGTTTTATCATGTTTCTAATTTCGCCTAACAAATATACAAATTTATAGTGACCAACATATGCAAATTTTATCTTTGTTTTTATTTAACTTGATATCGTAAACATAACATCCATTGTAAGCATTTTTCTGTTCACCTTCCGTGGTTTCTCTTTTCTCTGATAGTTTTTAGGTGTAGTATATTTTCTTATTACTAGACTACAAACATTCCCTCGAGAAAAACCTGGGCGAAGCCGGGTACATCCGCTAGTATAATTATAAATATATAATATGCTTCGAGAAATCGGTTTTCCGCAAACATCAATTTGTGTCAATAACTATGTTGTTGTTGTGGTTTTAGTAAAATAGACTTTACGTTTAGCACCTTCCCTGTAAGTGTTCTGGAAGGATGGATTGTTGAGTTCACACACTGTGCGGGATCTAGACAAGGTGCGTGCGTGGCCGCCATTCTACGGCGCTACATTGAATTGCTTTTAACGTCGGCAATCAGTAGCTAGCGTGAGTTAGAAGTGGAACGGTGTCTAGACTGCAGAGATTTCCTGCTCATGTAGACAACAACAACAATACTTCTTTCCTAAGTTATAAAGTCAACTGTTTTCTCTACTTCTTGAAAATAAAGATACTTCGGCCAATAAATATTTTTATTACCTCGACGTTTCGGCAAAAAGCTTTTGTCCTCGTCAGGAGCAAACAAAAATTAAAACATTTAGCAAGGCGTTAAAAATTACTCTAATGCTCCAAGGGCGTTCTCACGCGATATTTCAAATTTTGTACATCTAAATGTGTTCTCTACATTGATTTAGATATGTGGTGTAATTTATAGTTAGGATTGTAATTTACTATTCATATTTAGATACAGGTTACAATAAAAACATATACCAAATGATTTCCTTGTTAGATAAAAGACAACTATTCAATAGTATAGATTCAGACAGGTATATTCAACTGTAAGTACAAAGCGCGATGTCCCGCCAAGGACACTGGCGCCCAAAAGAAAGCAACACAAGAGTGAGAGGGAGAATCTATTAACATATGCTCAAGGCCTTTACCATATTCCTGAAATTGATTTCAAACAAGCATACTATATACATTGGTAATTTAATTTAAACACATCTCAAAATAAAGAAAAAAGGAAAAAAAATCATATATACAGCACATAGTTAATTATACCTAACACATGAGATTATTTAAATACTTTGATATAAATTTACAAAATCTATTGAATACAATGTATGAATCCCTGCTGGATATCAGTTCTCTTGGATCGGAACAGAGAATACCGTTATTGAGTCTGTAGTCTTGAAATGCTGGGCACTTAAGTAAAAGGTGAGTAGAATCTTGAATGCGGCATCCACAAAAACAGCCCGGATCCTCCGATGCATGGATTCTTTCCAGAAAACTTCCGAAATTACCATGGTTGGTTACAAATTGTGTGTTGTGGAAATTAGGGCGAAAATAACTTGGAATACCCCGGTTGAAAAAACTTGTAAATGTCTCGTTTGTATTATTCAGTAAGAGCAACATTCTTTCGTCTATAAAGGATTTAATTATAAAGGGAATATCGATGTTGTATTTTTGCTTGTCCTCGAACGATAAGTTATTTAAGTCATATTTCATATTTTTTGCTTCAATGTAATCTGCAATCAATGGAACCCTAGCCAAACTGTGAACACAGTTGTACAAAGTTGTCTTGTATGCTTGAATGCTCCATATTAGTATCTGATTTTGCATTGAGTTTAATTTTTGAATCGATTTTTTTGTTTAAAAATTTTAACCAGATTTCTGATCCATATGTTATAGTTGATCTGAATAAAGATTTATACAATGTAATTATTTTATGGGAGCTCAAACCCCATGATTTGCTGCACAGAGAGAATAGAAAATTTTTTATTCTTAGAGTTCTGCTCACTATTTCCTCTATATGAGAGGCAAAATTTAATTTGTTTTTTCTTCTATGATTCGCAATTGTTATTCCCAAGATTTTTATTTTTTGTACTGGTGAAATAAATCCACTCTTAAATTTAACTGGGATCTTCTCTTTATTATGCAAATATAGAATGTTTGTTTTTTCGGAACTGATTTCTAACTTGTTCTTAATACACCACAATTCGATAGTATTTATTGCTTCCTCTATAACTGTTTTTAGTGATGTTAGATCTTTATTCCAGCATATGATCGAAATATCATCCGCATAACAAATCAACTCACTATTGGGCACCTGAAAATTCAACAGCAAATCGTTCAACAAAATTGTCCACAGAAGTGGAGAAAGCGGACCGCCCTGAGGACACCCCTTAGTAATTGGCTTTGAAGTTGTTAGATTGTCGTAACTGAATGAAATGATCCTGGAATTTAAATATGATTGTAGAATTTTGATCAGTTTTTCCGGTAAATTGTCTGAATCTATTCTTTTGATGATCGCTGGGCACCAGGCATTATCAAAAGCCCCCGAGATATCTATTGTAATTAGTGCAGACAGTTCTTTTTGCTTATGCTCCATTAATACATCGATTACAGTATTCAAAGCAGTGATAGTTGACTTTGACTTGATAAATCCGTGCTGCCTCGAGCTCAACAGATTGTTTTGAATATAAAATGCATATATTTTATTTTTGAGAATTTTTTCTAGAATCTTTGAAAAATTGGATAATAAAGATATCGGACGGTAGCTTTTAGCTGATTCATAATTGGTTTTGCCGGGTTTGGCTATTATTTTGAGTGCTGCTGTTTTCCATTTTTTTGGGAAGTATCCTATTTGAATACATTTATTAAATAATGAGTGTAAAATCGGAAGTATTAGTTGAAAAGCATTCTTTATCATATTATTACTAATATTGTCTGGACCAGGAGCTTTATTTACATTAATTTTGTCGATTAGCTCTTCTATTTCTTTCTTATGAATATTGCATGAGTTGGAGTTTGTAAAATTCGGTGTATAGTTCCTTATTGATATATGGTGAGCAGTATCCGATATAGTTGTATCATCAGGAATTAGTTCATCAATCAGATCTTTTATTAGAGATTCTTTAGAATCTACTGGTGCCTGTTCAATTATTGGTAATCCCTTTTGTTGATTAGAGGAACTCAGTTTTTTTAAGGTTCTATAGGCGTTTCCAAACGGATTATTAGATCCATTTTCTTCTATAAAATCTCGCCAACTATTCCTCTTAGCTTTTCTTATACTATTTTTATATTTATTTCTGACAGACTTATATACATTAACACTAATTGCTTTATGATGAAAGTATAGATTTCTCACATAATGAAAATACTTTTTCTTTTGTTCTAATTCTTTGTTCCACCACTTGATCCCGGTATCGAAAGTGAAGTTGGAAGATTTCACCTCCAGTGATTGATATGCAGCTTCCAGAATGGACTTGCGATGTATAAATAAAAGATAGTTATTTATTAATAATGGTTAATTACATAATGAAAAAGGCATCTCCTTATCGTGCAACTGAAATTTGCTGATGGATTACGCCATCTATCGGAATATCGGTTATTTACATGTTACAGTAAAACTTGGATAATTCGAACGTCTTCAATTCCAATATTTATCTTGGTCCCTTTTATTCAAAACGTTTTTAATTCGACTTTCGACTTTGAATTATTCGAGTTCGACTGAATATAGAATTTTATCATATGCCCATCTAGCATTCCTAGTTCTAGCATTCCTAGTTCTAGTATTCCTAGTTCTAGCATTCCTAGTTCTAGTATTCCTAGTTCTAGCATTCCTAGTTCTAGTATTCCTAGTTCTAGCATTCCTAGTTCTAGCATTCCTAGTTCTAGCATTCCTAGTTCTAGCATTCCTAGTTCTAGTATTCCTAGTTCTAGTATTCCTAGTTCTAGTATTCCTAGTTCTAGCATTCCTAGTTCTAGCATTCCTAGTTCTAGTATCTATGATTTTCTCCCTTGTTTAAAAAAAACCTTAATTACTAACTATGTAAATATTTGTATTTATTTCATTGGTTGTTTTGGTTTCAATT